TAGAAGTTGTTCTTTGGTTATTCATTTCTGTACGATTGGTGAGTTAACTGGAATTCAGAATCACTTAACTTGACTGCATGACTCAAAGTGTTTTTCAGTTTCTTTCCTCCTCTTGCCGTTTTCAGTCCTTGGATCTGTACCTTTCTTGCTGAGAATGCTAAGAAATCTCTCTTACGATCCCAGCCTCAGCTCCCAGGCGCCTTGACTGCAGGCTGCCCTAAATCTGTTGGAGCCTTAAGCTTAGTTCTGGTTGTCTGTCGAGGTGCATCACGGCTGTTTTCATTCATCACGGCCAAAAGCTTAAGTAGACCTAACCTCCTGTGGGTGAGAATTAGATGCTGATAATCTCGGACTTATTCCATGCACCCTTCAGTTTCTCAGTGACCTTTATTTCGTGGATTGGGCCCTTATCACTTTATGACGGGCTGCTGCTCTGGCCTCCACCTGGGTTCCTCACCTCCTTTTGCCCTTATCTCCAGTCTGTTCTGTACATCTCTGTGTGATTAATGTTACTAAGATACTCAGCTTTGATCACTTCCCTTCCCTATTCCAGTGATGCCCTGGATCTGAATTCTCTGTTCATCTCACATAATCTCCATCTCAGCCTTTGTGCTCACGCTGTACCTTGGCCTGCCTAATTCTTGCTCATGCCTAAATTTCTGCCTCCAAATGCTTTTTTTCAGTTACGTCTTCTATTATCTCAGGCCAAAGTGACCTTGCTCTCCTCTGAATCTGTCTGCTTAGTTCTTCAGAATTATAGTGACAACCCATAGAGTGTATTATAGTTGAAAAACCTGTTCAGTCAGATTGCTTTTACTTTTCTGGGAGCTGAGGAGACAATATATAAGCTGAGAGAAATTATTACATTGAAGTTGCTTTACTACTAACCAGATAAGTGAAAAAAATGTCATGTGAAGAGAGTGTTGCCTTCTTTATGGTAAATAACCACCCAGCCTTCTGGGTGGCAGATTCCCACGGTCAGGGGACAGGTAGAAAGCTTCTGGACACATAGTAGCCGCCTCAGAGAGCTCCGTGAGTTACGAGAGGAAAACATGTTATGAAAAGGGAAGAGAGTATTTGGTGCCCCCCCCCCCGGATATAAAATTTGTCTTATACAGTGTCTTTGACACGGTAGTTACCACAGAAGGACTGACATTGATTCATTGGAACTATAAGCACGTTGGATGGCGGCCAGGGGAAGAGCTCTGTAGTGGTTTTGAGCTCGTGTGTGCTTTTCCTGTGGGAGCGCGGCTGGGCAGCTGAGCTGTGACTGTCTCTCCGCAGTCTGTGTTCAGGAGCTCCCCGCTCATGGGCTGCTTTCTCTTCGGCCTGCCGCTGGGGGTCGTCAGCATCATGTGCTACGGCATCTACACGGCGGACGCGGACGGGCACGGCGACGAGCGCTACGAAGTGGTGCGCGGTGAGGCCGGCGGCCCCGC